AAAGGATCCACACAGGAGAGAAGCCATATAAGTGCATGGAGTGTGGAAAGAGCTTCAGTTTTAATAGTTCTCTTACTATTCATCAAAGGATCCACACAGGAGAGAAGCCATATAAGTGCATGGAGTGTGGAAAGAGCTTCAGTTTTAATAGTTCTCTTACTATTCATCAAAGGATCCACACAGGAGAGAAGCCATATAAGTGCATGGAGTGTGGAAAGAGCTTCTCTAAAAACAGTTCTCTTACTGTTCATCAAAGGATCCACACAGGGGAGAAGCCATATAAATGCATGGAATGTGGAAAGAGCTTCCATGGAAACAGTTCTCTTACTGTTCATCAAAGGATCCACACGGGGGAGAAGCCATACAAATGCATGGAGTGTGGGAAGGGCTTCAGCCAACACAGTAACCTAAGTTCCCATAAACGGATTCACGCAGGAGGGAAGCCATATAAATGCACAGAGTGTGGAAAAAGTTTCACTAATGGCTGTTCCCTCAAATCTCATAGTAGGATCCACACAGGAGAGAAGCCATATAAATGCTTGGAATGTGGGAAGGGCTTCAGGCAACACAGTAAGTTGACTTCCCATAAAAGGATCCACACAGGAGAGAAGCCATATAAGTGCATAGACTGCGGAAAAAGTTTTACTAAGAGCTGTTCCCTCACATCTCATAGAAGGATCCACACAGGAGAGAAGCCATACAAATGCATGGAGTGTGGAAAGAGCTTCAGTTTTAATAGTTCTCTTACTATTCATCAAAGGATCCACACGGGGGAGAAGCCATACAAATGCATGGAGTGTGGAAAGAGCTTCAGTTTTAATAGTTCTCTTACTATTCATCAAAGGATCCACACGGGGGAGAAGCCATACAAATGCATGGAGTGTGGAAAGAGCTTCAGTTTTAATAGTTCTCTTACTATTCATCAAAGGATCCACACGGGGGAGAAGCCATACAAATGCATGGAGTGTGGAAAGAGCTTCAGTTTTAATAGTTCTCTTACTATTCATCAAAGGATCCACACGGGGGAGAAGCCATACAAATGCATGGAGTGTGGGAAGGGCTTCAGCAAACACAGTAACCTAAGTTCCCATAAACGCATCCACACAGGGGAGAAGCCATATAAGTGCACAGAGTGTGGAAAAAGTTTCACTAAGGGCTGTTCCCTCAAATCTCATAGTAGGATCCACACAGGGGAGAAGCCATACAAATGCATAGAGTGTGGAAAAAGTTTTACTAAGAGCCATTCCCTCATATCTCACGGATGTATCCACGCAGGAGAAAAGCCGGAAAAATGAATGGAGTGTGGAAATAGCTTCAGGAGGAGCAGTGACCTAATTTCCAACACACAGACCCATTTGGGTGAGAATCCATGTAAATTCTAGCTATAGTTGGTTAAATCTATGCATTTCCTATTTGTGTATACTGACTAGGAAAGGAATGTTTTTTGAATCTGACCTTCACAACTGGCAGCCCCAGAGAAATGAATTTACCAGGGGAAACAAAAGCAATAGGTATGTGCCTTCTTAATTATGAACTGTGGATTTTTGAAGGTACTGTCATTTGAAGGTGGCCAACGCTGTTGCTTGTCAATCAGAGAAAAATCCTTTTTCTTTACTTTACATTTATTTTACGCATCTCACATTCTGGGTTGTACAATTTGATGAAGATGTTGTCTTCATTGTGGTTTTACAAGTGAGCTTCTTGCTCGTCAACTGTTTGTTCTTCCCACTTGAGCATGCTGCTGGGAGGGATGTGAACAGGCAGACATTTGACAGGAGATGCTCCCCTAAGCAGCCAAAGAGCTGCATCTCCCTGATGTATCTTTTCAAGACAAAGGTTTTTTAGTTTTCCTTCTGCTAAACCAGAAATGCAGATAGAAATTCAACTCAGCCAATCACTTCCCAGATTTTAAACTTTCCTTCTTTTGCTTAGACTTCTTACAATTGTTTCCCACTCCCTCTCTCATTCCTGAATACGTTCTGAGGTCTCGAGCAATATTAAAATCCTAAGGTAACACAGGTTCCATCAAAGAATAGGGAGAGAGATGGAATTTGATATTGAATTGCCCCCTGAATAATTGTGATATGAAATTAAAAGTAACAACTAAGAGGATTTGTGCTTCTAATTTTTCCCTCCCTCCCCTTCCTACTTCTTTCCTCTTCTTTTTTCTTTCGTTTTTCTTCTTGGGTCTCTTTCTTTTTGTCCCATGTTAGGGATACTCAGGAAAATGAGAATGAAAGTGACTCCAGTGTGCTGACATTGCAAACAAGGAATTTATTGACATTTGGGAATCCATGGGGACCAAAATGACATAATATAGCGAACACACAAAAATGAGAAGGGGAACTACCTCTGGGATGTGAAGACACTGAAAAATAATCAGACTCGCATCCACAGTGCAGAACTGAGAATGGAGGTGACCAGGATGAACACAGAACCATGGAACCGTTTTCGGTCTAAGGCCTCATTATGTGAGACAATTGTCACCTATGTATCAATGACTTATTTGTGGATGAGCTTCAGGGTGAAGAATTCCTCTTTCACAAAAGGAACCAGAAAGGCAAGAAGCCCTCGAAACATGTGCAAAAACATTTTTCAAGCATTAGACCTTTCTATGGTATGACGAGGGCAAAGAAAAGGTCAAAATTTGATTTAAAGAAAATTAATTAAATATCAATGGTGTGGTTACTTTCCAGGCATGTATTACATTCTCCTTCTCTTTAGTTGCATTGAAAATTAGTAACACAGGAAAAGTTTTGGAAGGAGTTGGGTGGGGGGAGACTTCAGGGTTTAAGAGGCTCATGCTGGCTTGAAGTTGTTTATTCAAAAACTGGTCACCGATTGTTCTGGCTCAAAGTGGAGAATAAGAAATCGGGTGACTTCCTGTGAGTGCCATGTCGAGCTGATATCCTGCTGGCAGCGGGACCACATTTATGAGGAGTATGATGGCTGGATGCTGGATCCGGACTGGCAAAATCTTTCCAGAAGAATGAGAGATTGTTGAGATTTATCCGCGTGCCTCTGGATAGCCGCTCCTTGTGAGTAGACCACGGGAGCTGCCGTTTTGCGGTTGGCTTTTGAGGTGAGTGGCTGGCATGCTTGCTCCCAGGCCCTGGTCAGCAGGTTCATAGGGGCCCTTGCCTCTGGCTGTTGCTGCTTAATGCCAGGTTGGTTAAAAGCAAGCTCCCCCTCATATGTGACTAGATCACTGAGGAGGGGTGGACCTGGCACGTATTACAGAGACCTGGCTGGGGCACGAGGGGGGGTGCCCCTCTCGGAAATGTGCACCGCTGGGTTCATGGTGTGGCACCAGCCAAGATGCCAGGAGAGGAGGGGTGGCTGTCGTCATCCGAGAGTCCTTGGTGGCCTTCAGGGGCATTGCTCCACAAGTCTCTGGCTGTGAGACACTGTTTCTTACCTTGGGCTCCCGTGAATAGTTGGGAGTGCTGCTACTGTACCAGCCTCCCTGCTGCATGGCAACCTCCCTGCCTGAGCTGCTGGAGGCTGTCTCGGGGCTGGTGGTGGAGTTCCCCAGGCTTATGGTTCTGGGGGACTTCAACTTGCCGTCCCCGGGACGGACCTCGGAGGTGGCTCGGGAGTTCACGGCTACCATGGCAGCCATGGGCCTGTGTGACGGAGGTCCGGGATTATGGGAACTAACCTGTTTTTATGTGTAATTCCTTGTCCAAATTAGTAGATGAAGAAGCTTCCTCAATCCACTTTGAAGTAATGGGAATGAGGTTTTTATCACGGGGAGAAG